ATCACTGCCTGGGAGTCTATGCTGAGAGTCCAGTTTCCATGAAATCTCATTGTTACACCACAGTTGCCATGGACTAAAACAATTTCTTTAGACCGAATACAAACATGGAAAATAAGAGCAGAAATCTTAAAATGAAAACTGCCACTAGCAAACCATCTCGAAACAAATTTATCTAACAACACTTCCGAAAATACATACAAAACTGAATTACTCCCCCTTGTGCATTCCTGTAGTGCCTACTATGTGGGTGCATTTTATCTATTCTGGTGCTTTAATCCAGTGCTACCCAAGTGGCTGCAGCTTTCACTGGGAGAAACTGCAGATGGCCTTGGAAGACCATGTCAAGCAGTTCTGAGCTTGGCAGGTCCGGCTTCACATTGTTGCACCATGGCGTATGTTGGGCATAGCAGCAGCAGCACACTGTGGGTGGAAAATGCTTGTTATTCAATGAGGCGGCCACACGGTACATGGAACTACTGCCATTTCCTGGGACAGCACCTCAGCAAATCGTGGTAACCTGTTGGAGGACCAATTGCTGCAAGAACCTCAAAGCCCTCACGAACATTGGTATTCCCAGCCATGTTGACCACAGTCTCAGCCTGCAGCATCCATCTCATGACCTCAGTCTGAACTCTACTGCCCCCCTCAAACTTTGGGTGTCTTCATTTGTGCAGCGATGATACATCAGGGAATAGACAGATGGGAAAGGAGGGTAACTGGATGGGAAGAAAATGGAGTAATAGTGCTTGATTTTTTGAAAAGGAGACAGTGACTGTTTGATTTCCAATTTTGAGGCTCCTTTCTTATCTACCAGGGTGTTCACCTCAATATAATCAAATAATATCAGACAACAGCAACTTCTACTGTGCTAGGCTCTGACTGTTTAATGCTCCAAAACAAAATGCCTCTTCCTACTTGGACCCAAGACATTCCCGCCAGTGCTGCAAAAGTACTTCCAGATCTTGAGACCTCCATCACAGAAATGGGACCAGAACCTTGCTCTGTTGTGTTCTCAAGATCCTAACAACTCCATTAAAACTGGGCTCAGGTTCTTACAGCTTATACCACAAGATTCCAATACAGCTCCTAATGCAAATGCATTTGAGTGTCTGACAGTGTAACTTGGTAGAAGTGTGGTTATAAAGCCTGAGACATTTTAGGACTCAGTAAAGCTGTACAGAAGAAGTGAATTCAGAGCATAGGTTGTGACAGTAACTCATGAAAAATAATTTAGTGGTGATATCAGGAGGAATTCTTTCTCAAAATAAGGTGATCAGCACTTGGAATAGACATTCAAATTGAGTTGAAAGCTATGCAGTTGCCAAAGAGCTCTGTGGATAGGACAGTGGAAATATCTTGTTGGATGAATCAGCTAAGATTGATCAAATGCTTTCCTAGATTGCAGTTATTTTGTGGTCATGTGTGAAACCAGCAGTAATTTTGCATAATCTAATAAAAAGTGAAACCATTAAAGGGAGTCAGTGTTATGAAATCATCACTGCTTTTAAAATGCTTATTGCACAGCACATATAGGTAGCCTATCTTACAGCCAAACATATGAACCTATTGACACAATATATTTTTCCTATTCAAAATACACACCATACATTTGTTTCTTAAACATAAATTATAATGCAGCATTGAGGCCAGATGTGAATGGGTCAAAAGACTCTTTGGATGCTATTCCCCAGGCCTTGCCTTTGGTTTCTATTTGATTCTTTTTAATTGTTTTTTATTTTTGAATTTGAAGAATTTTTAAAAATAGGTTATGAATCTGATCATATTGTGTTTAATGTTTGAGATCAATTGGTTATAGATGGCTCGCTGCAATATTGTTGGATAGACGGGGTGGAGGCCAGGGATTCTGTCCTGAAATAGTTGGAGAGTCTTGAGCTCTTTCAAGATATGTACTGGCAGCTGACTGAAGATATGTCCTAAGCACATTCCAATCACAGACAAATGTTTGTTGAGCCTTAGATCCTGAGAGGAAGAGAACATTTTTTCAACAAACTTCTTTTAGTCCAAAATCAAGGCACCATCCATCTTTTAGATATATAGTACAAGCTCATGTATCACTGTGCTGAGTGCAAGTAACTCTAATAACTCTGTTTTATTCTTTGAAAGTGGTTAGAAGAGAGATTGAACAGCGATCTGTTTTCACTTCTTTTAATAAAGTGATCACTGACAAAACTGTGTTCTATTGAAAAATTAATGTTCACCAAGAAAATATCCATCTTTGGGCTTACTAGGAAAGTTAAGGAAAAAGAGTTGCTGTGGAGAATAGTAGTCAGCCTGAGGACTGGGAGTGCTTTAGAAACTAGCAAAGGGCATTCCAAAGCTTGATTATAAAGGAGAAAAGTAGAATTAGAGTTAACTTTATATTTTTGAATATAAAAACATTGTCAGAGCTTTTATGTATATATACATATATGTGAAAAAAGTTACTAAACTAAATGTTGGCCCCTTAGAGGCACATTCAGGAGAAATGATTATGAGGAAACGGACAGTGGGGATAAAAAGAATGTTTTCAAGTTGACAGCTGTACCTTGTGGATGCTGCAGTGATCAGTGCTAAGGCCTCAGCACTTTACAGTCTGTACTTGGTTGAACTTGAATCCAAGTTTGCTGATGACACAAAGATAGGTGAATATGTGTGTAAACTGTATAGAGGATATAAAGATGCTGCAAAGAAGTAGAGACAGGTTACTTGGTTTACTATGATGTGACCACTGAAGTGCAGTATAGGGAAATGTGACCGTATTCAATTTGACAGTAAGAATAGAAAGTTAATCTTGTGAAAGCTGATGGTCAGACAGACGAGGGTGTACTGATTCAGGGAGTGTGGAAAGTTAATGTGCAGGTAAAGCAAGCAGCTAGGAAGATCAATAACATGTTCGCTCATCTTGCAAGGGGGCTGGAGTACAATGATAAGGATGTCTTGCTAGACCTGTTATGGGGCTTGGTGAGATCACACTGAGAGGTGCTTCCACTGGCTAGAGAACCTTGAACGTGGGGGCAAAGTATCAAGAAAAGGATTGTTCAATTACGACTGGGAAAAGGGGAAATTTCCTCATTCAGACAGTTGTCAATCTCATTGAATATATTCAAGGCTGAGATGGATTGATACTTGGTCTTTTAGGGAATTGCAGGATATTGGGAATAGGCAGGAAGATGGAATTGACGCAGAAGATCAGCTAGGATTGTATCAAATAGCACAGCAGGTTCAAGGGACTGAATAGTTTACTCCCTCTACTCCTAATCCTGCTCCTCCTACAGCAATGTTCAACTGCTGATTAGTACTAATTTTTCAACTGCTAATTTTTGCTAGCCCCATGCCCAAAGATTGACAGTCTCTAAGTCAAACCTAGGTTCTTTGTGCTATCTGTTTGACAGGAGGATCTGGTTGAGCTCTCACAGTTTAACTCCTCTTCCTCCTTAATTATCCCATTAAAACTATGAAAGGAGATTGAACCAAGCCTCTCAGAACACTTTATCTTCAAATTACTGTTCAGTATTGCCTACTGGAACGGAAGCACTATCATAATACCATCGAGGGGTGATCTGTATGCCATGATGAACAGTTCTCCATTAGATCTTGCAAGACTAAGACATTCAGTACCTTTATGTAGGGTGAGAATTTCTGTTATTCTTATCATTTAATCTTGCTGTCTTTTAGACAGTCTCCTGTGCCTCTCCAGTAAAGCAATTTATATTAACTAAATATAAGATTTGATTAGGTATTCTTTCTTTCTTTCTCTGTAAGAACATTTAGAATTTTATGTGCTTTACTGTGGTTCATCCAAAATTTTCAACAACCTTCATTGCTCCATATTTGAAGTCTGCAATAGGCTAGACATACTAATAATCTGCAATATTAAGCAGATCACAATGTTCTTTAAACTGAAATTTCTAGACACTGTCAAAAAAAAACTCTAGCTATATTTTGGTGTGGGACACGAGAGAATGATTACTGCTGTGAATGTGGAAAGTCATTTCTTGTTCTCTGTATTTAGGTCTAAGTTGTTAATTACCGTATCCAAGGCAATTCAGGTCTTCAGAACTGTATACCTCGCCATTTCACTGCTTTTTGGTTGTTGCAACTTGTAACTTGGAAGCATTCTGAATGATAAGGACATTATAAACTGTGTTTCGAGTGTAATGAGATATAGATGTCAGGCAGCTACAATCTGCTTCTGAAGTGGGGGGAGACGTAGCTTTGAATTATCTTGAGGACTGTTTGAAAAAGCTGTCTGGAATTGGAACAATGTTCTATTCTCGTGAATTTTGCTCTGCTTCTTTGTAAAGTTAAACAATCACTTCAACAGTTCTGGTGTAGCGAAGGGAAAATTCATTACTTGTGTCTTAAAATGGTGAAAAATGTGCTTTCAAATGTTGGAGCAAAAAACGTAACTGGTTCTCAAATCTGCAATTTTAACATATTACCCTTTGATAGATATCTGAAAAATATTGATACTGTTTGAACACAGGGCAGTCGTTTAGGACTGCTCCTGTCCTATGGACATCAGTGAAAAATGGCATTGGGTACCAACTGCTATTCTGCAGCTCCTCTGTGTTTGTGGTTCGATATTGTGGGAGAATGATGCCTATTTGCTGACCTCTGAATTTCCAATGCTAACATTCATCCTTTATTTATATTAAACAGTAGATCCAAGAAAATGAAGAATCTCTGATCCCTCTCTCAGGATGAGGCCGTCCATGTTATGATGTAACTGGATTGGTTGGTGGGTCACTGAGTGGGTCACTCAGTCAAGATCTGAACAATGGAGCCACTAAATATAAAAGAGCCTATTCCCTATCAATCTACGTTATACCTTGACAAATTTAAAGGAGTGGCAAGCACATAACTCTGATAACTGTGAAAACTAAGGCATGAATTATGTGTGGATCCAATTTCCTAACATTGAAACAAACTGAAAATACAGAACCTGATGAAAGGGGCTCTGCATGATTTTAAACTGTTAATTTCCAATCTGTTTTTAGGTTGAACATCAAGTTTCCCACAGATTAACTGTGTCCGTGCTAAGAGCTGAAAAAGTAACAAAGGGAACTTTTGGAGATCTACGTAAGTACTTTATAGAGCGTTTTGTCTATTCATTGTCGGCTTTGGCTGATTTATTCTTTCACATGCAACTTACTTCATAAATCAGAGTGTAGTACATAATCCAGATGAGTGCATTTGTGTAATAAGTAAGACATTAAACTGAAACCTAGTCTGCCTCTGAACCCGTGATTCAGGTGGATATTAAAATTCTCACGATGCTATTTAAAGATCAGGGAATTTTCTCTGTGCTCCAGCCAACGTTACTCCCTCAATCAACAGAAAAAAGCAGATTAACTGATCATTCATCTCAATTCTGAAATGTTGCTCATGCTGAATGGTTGATGCATTTGTTAGCATCAAAACGGTGACTGCAGATTATAAGTATTTAATTGTGCCTTTTCAGAGTTTTAATTTAACAAAGTGCTGTATAGAATAGTACAGCACAGGAACAGGCCCTTCAGCCCATGATGTTGTGCTGAACATGATGTCAAATTAAACTAATCCCTTCTGCCTGCCCTGGGTCTATATCCCTCCGTTCCTTGCATATACATGTGCCTGTCTAAAAGTATAAATATAAGAAATTTGAAAACTTACAGGATTGTGATCCCTTTTTGGAGAAAAGTGAGACAATCTATTTTTAGAATACCTTTGTTAGCCCCTTTCCCATTTGAGGTGAGGAGATGGTATGCTGAGGAGGACTGCTCAGTCACAGATGTTGCCTCTGTCCCAGTGCAGTTATCCAACAGCCATCACACACTTTTCACCTATGGCTCACAAATCCCATATTCCTAGTCCTGTCCCCATTGCCAGTTCTCCATCATTACAGGTCTTGGAATATAGACAATGGCAGAAGCCTGCCTGTGGCTTTATTTAACCTGGGGACCTGGGCATCCCACCCATTCCCCACATGTTCTTGATGGTTTGGTGATCACATTTTGGTGATATATTTTGTCAATGTGATTACAGCCCCGTTGCTGCTGCAGCTGCCTTCCACCTTCACAGGTGGTGAGATACACAGTGTTCCTTCACCTGTTCTGCCGTTGAAGAATATTTGGACTGTACTTGGTCTGGCATCTCCCCTTGACCTTGCTGCCATGGGAGGTCCTGCTGAAAGTAAGGAAGTCCTGGCAGCATTTCCAATACATTGTAACCTCCCTGATATTATTCTGACCTCCTCCAGTAGTTATACAATAGTTTGTGCTGTCTGGTTTGTTTTGGTTAGTCATTGACAACACCAAATTAAGTTGCAATGCTTCACGGTAAATAAACGTCAAGAATAAAACTGTGAGATAGTAGGAACTGCCAGTGCTGGAGTCTGCGATAACAAGGTGTAGAGCTGGATGAACACAGCAGACCAGGCAGCATCAGAGGAGCAGGAAAGCTGACGTTTTGGGTCTGGACCCTTCTTAGAAAAAAAAGATGTAAAAATATTTGCTGAAAATGTCTGCACAAAGGAAGCAGTTCTCATAGTTCCATTTTTTTGTGGATGGTATTTTACTCTGGCACTGAGTGACTGAGTTGCCTATTTAAAATAATCAGGAAATCATGCCCACACCCAATGATGTACGCTGTGTGTCTCAGAATAGTTACAATTCTTTATATTACATGTTAAAGCTCCGGTGCTTCTGCAATTTGTATTCTTAAAAGCTCGGCGGTAAATTGGCCAAAATCCGAGTGTTGTGTTGGGAAAGAATGGCACTTTGTAACAAGGCAAAGCATCAAGTTACAACTTGCGATAAGTTTGATATCTGAGCATTAGCACATGATGAGCACATTGCCCTGTTTTGGAATTGGGTTGCAAAATAGTAAGTTAGCACTTTTGGTGTAGGCCTTTCATTGGAAGTGGAATAACTCGCTGATGATCAAGATTCCAATTCGAATTGAAGGGAGAATACACATACAGATCGTATAAAATTTCTCCCAGTTCTGAAGAACTGAAATTCTAACTCATTTGTTCCCTTTGCAGATGTGAACTGACCTTTTCACATTAAAAGTGGTTCATCATGGGCAACTGGAAACAACTTGATCATATACAGTTGATTAGAAATTTTCTGCAATTGAAAAAACATAAATGAATGTGTAGTGATTAACGAGGTCAGCCAGATGGACCTCATAGAATATGAGTTCCTTGATTGGGGCTATCAATCAGGGAGCCCTGGCTGACAGATTAAATAGGAGTGTCACAGGTTCTGCTCACTCTGAGAACTGGCTCTGAGGAATCTGGACCAATGTCAAGTACTATACATGTGATTGGATACCAGCCTCTGTGCAGTTATTTCAGAATGAATTAGGGATGGGTAATGAATGCTGATTTTGCAAGTTATGCTCATGCCCTACGACAGCTTGCACTTGTACAACGTAATAAAGTAAACAAAGAAGCTTCATAGAAGCATTGTAAAAGAAAATGTGATCCTGAGCCAGCTGAGGAGATAATAGGGAGCTGAGCACAAGCTGAGTCAAACAGGTGGGGGTTTCAGGACTATTTTGGAATGACAGAACCTTGGAATGGTGGGTGGGGCCTTAGATGAACATGTTCCTGGCTGGATGGGGGTACAGAGGGAAGTATCGGAAGAAGCTGATCGCAGTCTTGGTGACAAAAAAATACCCATGAGCTCCTCGCCACATCTCATTTGCCTTTAAGTCAATATCAATCTACATTTCTGACTGTAAGTCTTTACCTCAGTACTGTGCTGTAGTGTCAGCTTAGCTTACACATTCCAACCTTGATTGGTTGAGAGTTCTGTCAACTCTCCCACAATAGCCTTTCAGATGTATTTCACAATTACAACGGAAATGGTTAATTGATGCCTCATTTCTGAGTCAAAATGTTTATGTGTAATTTCTGGTCTTGATCATGTGGCTGACAGTACAATGCAGTGAGGAAACTGAGTTGCTGGGGGCTCTTACTCCCTGCCTGGGGAACATCACAGTCTCCAGTGTCCAGTTCTACTCCAATGCCCATATAGGCCCTGGGGTTGTGCATGATATAAGCAGATGTTTATTCTTGTGTTGTATATTTGTTCTTGGGCTTCCTAAAACTCTGCATCTGTCCCTTGTAAAGAATCTATCAACATTCAGAACTGGAGACTACAGTCTGGTGAACAGGACCACATCACTAAGTCCAATTTAAATGTTCCCATTAGATGTATCAGTGTCAGATAGAGGGGGAGAGACATTGGTTCCGTTAATCAGGAAGGGAAGAACACAATGGGAGTGCAGGGTTACCTAACTCCTTTTACTATCTCTCTGCCAAGATAGCATTGCTATTACTTTGCTGATAAAACTGTTCTTTTTGTTTGTAATTTTTCATTTATGCACTGTTGTTGATATACCTGCAACGAATGTCTGAATGTACAATGGAATTTGAACTGAATTGTATTGAGTTTTGGGCTTTTTGTTTTTTAAAGGAATCTGTAATAACCTGTAGCTGAGTTGATTATTTCGGACAATCATTTCAAAGAAACTGATTTGAGGGAAAGAATTTTCAGATGTCAGGTATCTGTCTACTGAATATTATACAGTAATCTCAACTTATTTTCCATCTGTGTTGTTTGTATTCATTGGCAACAAATTAATCACTAGATAATTAATTATTCTTTGCTTTATGTAAATACAAAGACTTGTTTATAACTACTGTCAGTGAAGATAACTTAAAGTGGTAAATCATTTGAGAACAGATTATAGACTTTGGCTGTTTTATTTAAAAGCTTTGACATCTGATAAAGAATTATATGTAGAATAAACTCAAGTTGAAAAATCGAAGGGAAACAATAGTGGAAAACTGGCCGGCATGCCTGAGATACTGCAGGGCTGTTTTCTAGTTGTTGCCCATCTTCTTAGGGATGTAATAATAAATAGAGTGCACGAGTCAGGTTTACCTAGAACTTGGCCACCAGACTGACAACAATACATCCTTTTATAGTTCCATCCTTTTTAATGCAGTTTCATTGAGCTTCTGATGTCCTTTGGAAGTATGGTATAAAGTTAAAGGACCTTGTTTAGACAAATGCTCAATTTGTTACAGCTTACACTCCTGCTTCTCCATCATTACTTGAAAATGAATTCCAGCAGAGATGTGAAAGCTTTGTTTTACGCACATGACCTTAATAACCATTCTGGCATGCTAATATGCTGAAAAAATCTACACAACATAATTTGGTCCTGAGCTCATACATTGTGCTGATACTCGATCTTGAGGAGATCAAGTGGCTGACCTGAAGCAGTTTGCAAACAATTCAGGAGTTGACTTAAGCTGGATATACTTTTAGATCCTAATATATTTGCAATTCCTAAACCAGGGCTAAATGTCAGTGTTTAAAGTATTTTGAAATATGTGGACTGCAACGCATGTTCCAATAAATATCCATCCATTATACACATTATCAGACATGTTTTATGTTACCAGGCCTTGACCTTCTCCTTGCTTGAAGTCCTTTCTATAAATATAAACATTATGCATGGGCTTTAGAAACAACGTTGGTGTTTTAGGTTGGGAGATTTGCTATGATTGCTGTGACAGGACAAACTTTAGGGCACAACCCTACGACTTGTTATTTATTTTTGGAATATATTCAAATCCACATGCATACAAATTTGATATATGCAAAATCTTGGCTAAGGCCTTGTTCTGTGAAAGTAGATTTGCTCAAGCATTAATTTAACCCATAGTGGTCAGACTGGCTCAGCTCTCTAAACTCTGAATCAGAATCTTTGGAGTTTAAAGCTTGGACCACGACTTCACTATTTAATGTAGGCTAGAGAGGTTGATGTTAGTAAGGAAGATGTACTAGGAATTTTGAGGAACTTGAAGATAGATAAGTCCCCTGGGCCTGATGGGATTTATCCAAGGATTCTGTGGGAAGTGAGGGAAGAGATCGCAGGGCCTTTGGCGATGATCTTTTCATCCTCACTGTCCTCGGGCATAGTGCCAGAAGATTGGAGAGAGGCAAACGTCATTCCCTTGTTCAAAAAAAGGGAATAGGCACAACCCCGGAAATTACAGGCCACTTAGTCTTACATCAGTGGTGGGCAAATTATTGGAAAGGGCTCTGAGAGAAAGGATTTATGATCACTTGGAAAGGCACAGTTTGATTCGTGATAGTCAGCATGGATTTGTGAGGGGTAGATCATGCCTCACAAACCTTATTGAATTCTTTGAAGAGGTGACCAAACACGTGGATGATGGTAGAGCAGTGGATGTGGTATTTAAGTAAGGCATTTGATAAGGCTCCCCATGGTAGGCTCATGCAGAAGGTAAGGAGGCATGGGACAGGGGGAAATCTGGCAGATTGGATTCAGAATTGGCTGACCCTTAGAAGACAAAGGGTGGTAGTGGACAGAAAACATTCAACATGGTGCTCAGTTACGAGTGGTGTACCACAAGTATGTGTTCTGGGTCCTCTTCTATTTGTGATTTTTGTAAATGATTTGGATGAAGGAGTGGAAGGGTGGATTAGTATGTTCGCGGATGATACGAAGGTGGGTTGCGTTGTGGACAGTGCGGAGGGCTGTTCTAGGTTACAAAGGGACATTGATAGGATGCAGAGCTGGGCTGAGAAGTGGCAGATGGAGTTTAACCCTGAAAAGTGTGAGGTGATTCATTTTGGAAGGACAAACTTGAAAGCAGAATACACGGTTAACAGAAAGATTCTTGGCAGTGTGGAGGAGCAGAGGGATCTTGGGGTTCATGTCCACAGTTCCCTGAAAGCTGCCACCAGGTGGATAGAGTTGTTAAGAAGGCGTATGGTGTGTTAGCTTTCATTAATAGAGGGATTGAGTTCAAGAGCCGTGAAGTTATGCTCCAGCTATACGAAAGCCTGGTTCGGCCACATCTGGAGTATTGTGTCCAGTTCTGGTCACCTCATTACAGGAAAGATGTGGAAACGTTGGAAAAGGTGCAGAGGAGATTTACCAGGACGTTACCTAGAATGGTGGGAAGGTCTTACAAGGAAAGGTTGAGAGAGCTAGGGCTTTTCTCTTTAGAACCACAAAGGATGAGAGGTGACTTGATAGAGGTGTACAAAATGATCAGAGGTATAGATAGAGTAGACATCCAGAGACTTTTTCCTAGGGTGGAGGTAGCTATTACGAGGGGGCATAGTTTTAAAGTGAGTGGAGGTAGATATAGGGGAGACGTCAGAGGTAGGTTCTTTACTCAGAGAGTGGTCGGGGCATGGAATGCATTGCCGGAGAGGGTAGTGGAGTTGGCCTCATTAGGGGCATTTAAGCGGCTATTAGATAGGCATATGGATGATAGTATAAGGTCGGGGTGGAGGTTAGATAGACTTTAGGATTAGGGTAAAAGTTTGGCATAACATCGTGGCCGAAGGGCCTGTACTGTGCTGTACTGTTCTATGTTACCTCAATGCAATCCTGACAAAATGTGATGTTGTTGGATGTCACACCAGGATGAACTGTTATCCTGAATGCTGGTGACTCTGGCTAACTTCAAAGATCTCATGGTGTTATTTGAAGTGCTAGGAGTTGACTTTGTTTAAGGCGTTTAATGGCTACCACAAACTAACATGAAAGAAAGCAATATCAAAGGTAAATTTCACATGCCAACAGCAAGCCAGTTAATACATTATGTACAATTGCCATTCTTCAAACATCCCCCTTTTCATTTAAAACAATGTTGCACTACCAATTACAGGTACAGGTTATCTATGTTTTAAAAAAGAAAATTATATTTTAGGTTAGCAATGATTCCAGTGTGTCCCATTTTCATCCGTCTCTGCATATGCATTTCATCCATTATCTCTAAAGTGTTCAGGTCTTTTAATGTTGTGCACCAGATGTTGTCTTTCAACAGTGTTCTGAAGGAGGGGCACTGGAGCCAAAATGTTAACTCAGCTCTCTCTCCACAGATGCTGCCAGATGTGGGCTTTTCCTGCAATTTCTGTTTATTGTTTCTGATTCCCAGCTGCTAGCTTTCAATTTCAGTGTCTAATTTGGATTATTTCTAGAGCATGTTGATCTGTAATTGCTAGTTTTTTTGAATTGAGTGAAAACTACGTCTTTGTTCTGTGCCCCAATATCACCGCACAGCCTTAGCAGTGAGCTTGCATAGAGGTTCACACTCTGATGACAAATTAGGCAAGTACTTTGATAAATATTTCACAAATGCAGCAAGAAAGAAAATTTCCAGTTGGAGGGTCAACCATCTGTGGTTAACTAAAAAAATGTTTAAGATAGTATCAAACTTAAAGAAAGAGCATGCAAATATATAAAGATGAGTTTCAGATGAAAGGATTGGACAGAATATAAAAATAGAGCAAAGAATTATAATAAGAATAAACAGAGTACAAATTCAGTGAAAGATTAATAGGGAGCGATAAATTAAAGAACGAGAGATAGCTAGCTAGAAATATAATGACAGTAAGAGTTTCTCAAGCTATTTAAAAACAGAAGAGAGCTAACAAAATGATTATTTGTCTTGTAGAAAGTGAGTCTGGGCATTAATAATGGAAACTAAGAAGATGCAAATGAATTAAACAGGTAATAGCTGGAAAGGGTGAATTGTCTTGAGGACAAGTCAGACAGACTAATCTTGTATCCATTGGAATTTAGAACAGTAAGAGACAATTTAATTGAAGTGTAAAATTCTGAGGTGTATTGACAGGATGGATGTGGAAAAAATGTGTGAATGTCTAGAATTAGGGGCCACTATTTAAAAATAAGGCATCATCCAATAAAGACAGAGATGAGGGGAATTTGTCTTCTTTTCAGAGGAAAAATAAACCCCACTCCTGTAGCCACAACAGCACAAGAAAGGCACGAAGCGCTTCAGTAAACAGGAAAGGCTTTCTCTCCAGGTACGCTGAGCTGGTCTTTGAAAACCACAGCAGGGCTGTGTCAGTCTGAGTCATATTTGGAGATCGTTAATTGATGACTCATCGATTTTCCCCTTACCCCGCACATACTTTTTCTCCCCTCTGGGAATACCTGAGAATGGCTGCTTTGGGAGAATGAATGAATGAATGATTGATTTATTGTCACGTGTACTTTACAGCGTAAAAACAGTAAAATACAAGGAGAAGCTTTTCTAATGTCACCATTGTCTGGCTCCATTTTGAATAGTTTAAAAATAGGGAAAGAAAATAGAAAGATAGAGCCTAAAGAGAGTCCATCAGTCCTGAGCCAGCTCGTCATCAGCGATGCCTGCGCTGCTATCCCTCCTCCATTGCCTCGCCGCCACATATGCTGGACCCAACCAACATCAAAGTCACCAATTCTCAGGCATCACCTTTTGCCCCACGGCCTACCTTACCGACATCATCTCTGCCGATGTAGCAGCCTCCGATTCCGATGCCAGGCCCCATGCTCACCCCAGATAAGTAAGTACAGGCTCACCGGAATCCACGCTGGGCTCACTTACTTCTGCAGTGAGATACGTACAGGAATCCCTCAATGTTGCCAATTCTGTCCAAGCTCAGGACAGGAGGTAAGAGATAAGAAAAAAAACAAGAAAAAACTTTAAAAAAAGGGAAGGAAAA